CGAGCGGGAGGGAGGGAGGGAGATGCCGAGGCAGAGCCAGGGAAAGGCTCGAGGAAAAGGGAGCTGCAGAAAGGGAGATGCGAGATTTAATGGGCCGCGAGGGGCGATCCCGGTGCTCCCTGCCTGAGCCACTGGTTTTGCTCCTTGAAAGGTAAATCTCAAAGCCAAAGAGCCCAGGACAGGACAACGGGTCTCCGACTGGGAGCTGCAACTGGTAGGGAGAGTGCTTAGACTGGTTTCAAGCTGGGAGCTGCAACTGGCAGGGACGTTGCTTGAACTGGTCTCGCTGGTCCCCGCGCAGGGACTCACCCCGGTGCTCTGCTTCTTGGTGTCCAGCAAGGGGAGGTTGTAGGAGGCCGCCAGGCTGGGGGAGGAGAGGACATCTCGCAGGGGCACTCGGGCTTCTCCCAAAAACCTGGGGGCGAAGAGCAACGGGGGAGGGAGGGGGGGTCAGCAGGAGAAGGGGAGCCAGGGAGCTGCGGCTGGTGGAAAGCGACCGAGCCGAGGGCAGGGGCAGAGGGGGGGGACGCCTGCCAGCATCCCCCTCTGGCAGCTGCCCGGGGAGGACGGGAACGGGCACCGGGTGACTCGGACCCAGCCCGCGTGAGACAACCGGGGCGAGCATCTCTGGGGACTTTGTCCCCTTTTTATCGAGGAAAAGCATCTAAAAGTCCACACTGAGGAACCAGGAGCCATAAACTGAAGTGCTGATGGATTTTTATTTGCCAGCGGAGAAAACAGGGGCACGAGGGGTTGGGGGTTTCACTGGAGGTGGATGAGATCAGAGCTGGCAGCCAAGGCTGGTGTCTGTGTGCCACCATCATCCAGGAGGGTTTTAAACCACCGTAAAACTGATTTCCCCCTACTGAGTTTCAGCATCTCCCCGGTCCTCGGCCTCTGGTTAACCCTTCCTGCGCCGTGCCATCTCCCACCCCGGCCGGCAGTGCTGGGTCCCACACTGACCATCCCCACCCAGAGCCAGGAAAGCCCTCAAACCGCTCTGTGCTATCCTAACAGCGCGGTGAGATCATGGAGCAGATCCTCCTGGAAGACATGCCGAAACACGTGGAAGGCAGGGAGGTGATTAGAGACAGGCAACGTCCCTTCCCCACGGGCAAATCATGCCTGACCAATCTGGTGGCCTTCTGCAATGGAGCGACTGCATCAGTGGACAAGGGAAGAGCTCTGGATGTCATCTACCTGGACTTCTGTAAGGCCTTTGGTAAGATCCCCCACAACATTCATACCTCTAAATTGGAGAGGTATAGGTTTGATGGGTGGACTGTTAGATGGATCAGGAATCGGCTGGATGGCCGCGTCCAAAGAGTTGCCCTCAACGGCTCCATGTCCAAGTGGAAACCAGTAACGAGCGGTGTTCCTCAAGGGTCCGTACCAGGGCCAATACTATTTAACATCCTCATCATTGACATGGTGGGATCGAGCGCACCCTCAGCAGCTTTACAGGTGACACCAAGCTGAGTGGTGCAGGTGATTCACTCGAGGGACGGGATGCCATCCAGAGGGACCTGGACAAGCTGGAGAAGTGGGCCCGTGCGAACCTCACGAGGTTCAACAAAGCCAAGTGCAAGGTCCTGCACCTGGGTCGGGGCAACCACCAGTACCAGCACAGGCTGGGGGATAGATGGACTGAGAGCAGCCCTGCCGAGAAGGACTTGGGGGTACTGGTGGATGAAAAGCTGGACATGAGCCGGCAATGTGCGCTCGCAGCCCAGAAGGCCAATCGTATCCTGGGCTGCATCCAAAGCAGCGTGGCCAGCAGGGCGAGGGAGGGGATTCTGCCCCTCTACTCTGCTCTGGTGAGACCCCCCCTGGAGCACTGCCTCCAGCTCTGGGGTCCTCAGCGTAAGAAAGACACGGACCTGTTGGAGCAGGTCCAGAGGAGGCCACGGAAATGATCAGGGGGCTGGAACAGCTCTGCTACGGAGAGAGAGCTGGGGTTGTTCAGCCTGGAGAAGAAAAGGTTCCAGGGAGACTTTATTGCGGCCGTTCAATATACGAAGGAGGCTTACAATAAAGACAGAAAGGGACTTTTTACCAGGGCGTGTTGCGACAGGACAAGGGGGAATGGCTTTAAACTAAAGGGGGGTAGACTTAGACTAGATAGAAGGAAGAAATTTTTTACGCTGAGGGTGGTGAAGCACTG